AGAAAGAGGGCTGGTCAAAATGGCTGAGGGAAATCCACCAGTTTCCTTTAGTTAACAACAAATACAGAACTTGGGCAAGTTTTAAAGGAAAAACACCCTCTCATTCTCAGTTTCCTCAACTGTGCAATGAATGGGTTATCTTATATGATTTCTAAGTTTCTGGGGCTCTAACTTTTCATGATTCCAAGAGACTTCATCTCTTACTGGAAACAAAATTCACAGCATTCCCAGAGAAAGCTGTTCACATACAAAATCACATCTGTAATTTCTACTTTACATGAGACTTGGTGAATAAATCTGGCCACATATGTAGAATTATATGACTATGAAGTTTAGTTGTGAACATTCCTAATTTATAAAGACTGCCACTGGCACGTAGAAAAAAGATAAATCTATCTACAGGCTCGTCTGTAATTATAAAGTGCTCTAGTCTTCTGAGCAATCAAAGAGAGAAACCACATCACGAGTGAACAGTTCTGTGTTGGGCTCCTCCTGCGTGAAGAACTTAGCTCAGTGTCCTGCAAGAGCAGACGCTCAGCACACATTTGTTAGTGGTAAAGGAATTAACTACTCTTTCTCCTTTTCTTCCACAGAGTTGTGCTTGAACCTCTCTTAATGCTTATTCCATTCTGCCTGGTAATAAAATGAGTTGTCTTCACGTGTCTAGTAGAGGGTAAGACTGAGGAATGAGGGCTACGCAGAAATAATCTTTGCCCCTTCACAGCACTTTGCAGCATAGCTGGCTACTGAGAAAGCCCTCCTTCTCTAAGAAAATCGAAGCAGGCCCTTCAGCGTTATCCCTGGAATGATGTGAGGCGGCTGGACACTGAGAGACCATGGTCTGCCCCACGCACCGCATCCCTCCAGGTGGCCATTTCCCTGTGCCTGAGAACACTTGCTGCCTGGGTCCGAGGTCTCAGAAGGGGACTAGAGTTTGGGATCACTGTCGACCAAACCTCCATATTTGCTATTCTTGGGGAGAAGAGGGGAAAGAAGCATGAGCATTGGTGGCACTATCCCTGGGTATCTTTTGCCAGGTCAGAAGCAGCCATTGTTTTATATGAGAGGTTTCAGGCTTCTCTCTTGTTCTGAAGATACAATGGAGTCTAGAGACAACATGACACAGTATTAGAAATCGAAAGACCCTCTTTTAGTCCCTCTATGCCATTAAGTGACTTCAGGAAGTCCCCGGGCTGTGGTTTGTGCTTTTCTAAAATTAGGAGATTGAACTCAGAGGTTTTTAATTCCTCCTTGAGCAGCAGATCTCCAGTATATACCACTGACACAAGTGTGGGGCAGGGGTCTCCCAGGTTGAATTGGTGGGCCCCAAATCCTCCTCCAGCTTAGGCTACCTCCTCACTTCCAAAACAATCTGGGCGGCAAGGAAGGGAGTTAGAGCCTCCAGAATCACAGCATTTCCAACATGCATTTGGGCGCATTGATGATAGCAAGCCCCTTGTTCGTATAGCTGCACACAGTTTGCAAAATGCTTTCACAACCTGCCTTACGTTTAATCTAGCATCTAATCATTTTAAGTAAGACACCAAAAGTGAGAAGTAGTTACATTTCCAGCTCTTAATGCCACAGAGTGTGGACAGTCCAGAAGGTTTGGCAGCCAAAATGTGCTGAAAGAGAGAGAGGAGTTTTAGAATACCTACTGAATACCTACTGTGCTATCCACAGGGCTGTTGTGGGCAGAGACTGTAGGTTGTAGCCATATCACAAAGTGCCTCAATGACCAAGTCAAAAACTTGACCTTCATACAGTAGAGGATGGAGTTCTTAGAGAGTTTAGGTGATTATTCCCACAGCCCCAGACTCTTTGATACTGGACTTCCCTGATATCTATTTTGGGGTCAGCCTGGACGTCATCCTGTGACCTGCTGTGGATCTCCCTTGTTCTACATCTGCTTGCCCTGGCTTTATGTATGACCTATGCTTAGGTTCCTATTATTGTCCATTCTCTAGGTCTCCAAGGTCATGGTCACTGGCACGGGGTAAACAACTGGTCTTAGCTCCTGGCCTCATCTGAGCTCTCAGTGGGGCCCAGGTGAGCTACGTTAATTAGTTTATCCATTCAAGAATTATTTACTCAGCATCTACTGTTCACCAGTCCCTGGTTGTACAAAAATGAATAAAATACAGTCTTTGCCCTTAAGGTGCTTACCATCTGTTTTAGCCTGCTAGGTCTGCCATAACAAAATACCACAGACAGGGCGGTTTAAACAACAGAAATTTGTTTTCTCACAGTTCTGGATGCTGGAATTCAAAGGCCAAGGTGCCAGCACAGTTGGTGTCTGGCAAGGCTTCCCTCCTTAGGTTGTAGATGGCCACCTGTGTCCTCACATGGACCCTTCCTGATTGCATCTGTGCTCCTGGTGTCTCTTCCTCTTCTTACAAGGACATCAGTCCTATTGGATTAGAGTCCCACCCTTATGACCTTGGTTTGACCTTAATTACCTCCCTAATGGTCCTATCTCAGATACAGTCACACTGGGGGTTAGGGCTTCAACACACGAATTTTGCAGCAGACACAATTCTGTCCATAATGCCATCTAAGTAGAAAAGTCAAATATGTACAGATAATTGCCATATGGTGGAATGAGTACCATGAAGGTATTGTGCATTTCTGGGAGTGGAGCTTCTAACCTGTCCGGGTGGATCTTAAAAGAAGAGAGAGAATTATTCAGGTGGATGAGATGCAGCAGGGAAATCCAGACAGAGAGAACAGTCTTTGTAAAACCCAAACACGAAACAGTGTGACCTGTCGGGTGGATGGGTGAGACACAGAGAGACGGGTTGGGGTACTATGAAAGTGAAACTTGGAAGGGGTGCTGTGACCTCCTCGGAACCCCTCTTCCTCCCTTCTCTTCTGTCACACTCTTGCTTCCCAGGCTATAGTCATTGTACCCTCTCTCCTCACTCCACTCAAAATATTACTGTCTTAGGTCTCACTCCCAGAAACTTTAAAATAACAGCCCCTTATCTTTTGTATAGCACTTTATTGTTACCAAACACCTTTCCCACATCATCTGACCCTTAAAACTGCCCAAGGGAGGCAAACAAATATATCTGTGTATATGATGAAACCGAGATTCAAATAAAAATAATAGTAATAATAACTGGCTTGCCCAAGGTCAGAAGGCTGTGTTAGAGTTAGTTGAGGGCTAGAATCCAGACCATCTGCGTGCTGATCTAGTTTCTCTCTGTTACACTACCTGCATTTTTCTTTGCTGTTTGCCTCTTGTGTCATATTTCTCCTGTAACGCATCTACATTTTGACAGAGCTTTCTGGAAATAATGTGTTAACCAATAGGAAAAACCCTCAGAGTGAGAATGTTGGGCCTGGCAAGATATTTTTTTGGCTAGGCAGGCCTGTCAAAGCCCATCGAATCACACATCTGCCTCACAAAGGGCCAACCCAGAGCAAAGCCCATGGGTATACTTTGCCGAAAGGAGCGAATTAAAACACTTCCAAGTCAGGAAATGCCAAGCTAGGTTTTTCTGTGGTGTTAACTTACTGGCCCAAAGTAGACCAAGTAGTAATTTACCTACAGCCTAGCCTGTTACCCAGAATCCCTCACTGGACCTTTGTCAGTGTTGCCAAGGCAACAGCAACTCTCACCGCTGGTAATTTTTAGTTTCAATCACACAAACTTCGTATTGACTTGGCTGCAAGTCTGATGCGGCAAAACTTTGACTCACTGGAATGCAGGAGGAATAAATTCTGTAAGTTTCCAACAAATCTGACTCTTTAGTCCTTTAAAAAATTTTGTCCGTTATTTTGGATGGAAATCTCTCTAAAATTCTTTTTTTGTGTCTATGTCTTCCTCACATAATCGATGGAGTATAATTTAATTGAAGCTTTTCTGGGTGACTCAGCCACCAGAACGGCCTTTGCCAAACACAAATCTGACTCCAGGATAAAGTCCTAACTCTTCTAGTTTTGGAAAGTGCCTCCCAGCTCACCCTAATCTACCTTTGTGATCTCATATATTCTCCATCCCTCCGCATACCCTATACCCCAGGAACACGGAAGTAATCATTCTTTTCAGTACGATTCATAGAACACACCATGTTCTTTCGTATCGCTGATTATTTATAGACAAAATGGCCCTTCTGAGCCCTTTATTCACCTCTCTGGTTAGAAAATTCTTACTCAGCCTTGGCTATTGGTCTGGTCCACCACCCCTACATCAAGCTTCCTCCTACCACGGTCCCAGAGCACCTTGTACAAACCGCTTAATGACAATATGTATGTGCCAGATCCCTCACTACTTCTTTGTACCTTAATGCCTAGTTAGCACAGCCTTGGCCTAATGTAAGTACTAAATACAAAGTTATCATCATTACTAAATAAACAAGTACCAAACTCTTATTCATACATACCATTTACTTTGTGTTTACTATGTGTGAGACACTATAATAGGGACTTTCTATGTATTTCTCACTTAATTCTCATAACAACCCAGTAAGTCCAGAGCTCAAAATCAAACTCAGTCCTCCTGTCTCCAAAATCCAGGCTTTTCTTCTATACTAAGTGGCACAGCACATTCTGAGCAAATCAACATCCTGGGCTAAAAGCGGAGTGGATGTTGATAAATTGGAGAGTGACTTGTGACATCGATGCCATGCCACAGTTGGATAGCAGAGGCACAGAGTGAGATGAAGAAGACCAGGACCAAGGGCTTGGGTAGGTAGGAGAGTTTGAGCAGGACTCAGAGGTCAGAAAGACAATATGTATAGTCAAAAGAGGGAACTATAGCTGAAAAAGGCAAACCAATCTTAAAAATCTAGAGTCTAGAGTAGGAGTCACATATTCAAATGTTTCCAGGGCTAGGACAGCAACATAGAGGATTAAAACAAGCCAGACCACTTCCACTAAGAAATCTTCTCTTTCTTTTTCATTTCAACCAACTCACATGGCCCCCTGGGTCTAACTTCAGTTTCACTATTTTTGATAGCAATACATGTACAAGAAGTATTTTATATTCTCCTTACCTCTCCTACAGGGAAAACAATAATGCAGGCATGATGAAAAATGGCAGGTGGCACCGGACCTCCACGTGGCGACATCACAGGGCAGAGCTGGTGGAGACACTGACAGCATGGATTCCAGGAGGGAGGTGGAGCTCAGCATTTCCAGATAATATGATTCTTCCAGGGAAGCTGGAAGGTTGTATTATTATGTAAATCATCTAATTTTTAAAAATCAGAGCCTTATGCAAAAAGGTTTAAAGGATTATGTGGGGCCGGCTAAATCTCAAACTTCATTGAGCCCAAGCATCAACTAGAGAGCTTGTCAAAACACAGATTCTAAGGTCCCACCCCAAGAGTTTCTGCTTCAGTCGGTCTCAGTGGTATCCGACAATGCGCATCTTTTTAAAAGCTCCCAGGTGAACTGATGCTGCCAGCCCAGGGACCACGCTGGAACAGCATTGGGCTGGAGGCCAACCATACCAACTCCAGCATTCAGGCAGCCTATTTGACACCTCTGGTCTAGAGATTTAGAGAAGGGAACTGGGAGCAGGGGAGAGCAAAGCAAATGCACTCCAGGGACAGGAGCTGTTGTCTGTCGTACCTTTTAGTGCTTCTGTTAGGGAATGTGCTTCAAAATAAGACAGGGGTTAGATATCAGACCTCCAAAAAAGTTCTTACATCTGTTGCTAATCTTCCTCTTTTCTTCTTTTTCTCCAAAGCCCCAGTGCACAGTTGTATATCCTAGTTGTAAGTCCTTCTAGTTCTTCTCTGTGAGCTCCTGCCACAGCATGGTAACTGACAGACGGGTGATGTGTTTCTGTGACCTGAGACTAGGAAGAATTCAAGAAGCCAAAAGACACATGTAGAATTTACTGGAAATCAGAGAGCCACAAGAATAATTAGAAAATGGAATGGAAGAGGAGAAAGCTAAGGACCTGACAGAATTTGGCTTAGAGAAGTGAAGTCCAAGTGGTAACTCGGTAACAATCTTCAAGCACCAGAGGGCAGTTTGGGAAATGGTGAACAGCTGTTCTCTGTTTGCACTGAGGCTTGGCTAATATGACCTGAGCTTCCAGAACAGCAGGAGGGGTTGAAGTAGAAAAAGAACTCCGGTACCTGACAGCTGTAAGGAGAGGCATTGATTGCCATGGGGCCCTGCTGGATTCCTACCGTTTAGATCTTTAAAATTAGATAAATGATAGACTCTCAGCACATTGAGAGACCCATCTCTCTGTGTGCTGTCTAAGTGTTTCTCAAAGTGCAGGACTCAGCCCACTGCTGGTAGAGAAAATGTTTGGGTGCTTCAGAGACACTGAATTAAGTGACTTTGGATCGCGAAGGGGAAGAAGTATTCCCTTTTCAATTCCATTTTATTACTTGGTCATGTCAAGCAGAAAGTCTCCCTGAGGTACTGTCTTTCCCAGCTCTCTAACACTTGCCCATCTCCCTTTGTAACAGAAAGAGAATAGGCTTCAGCGGCAGAACGTGAAGCAGACAATAGTGTGTATGCCGGTTGATTGTCATTGTTTTGTTTCATGATATTTATTTTTTTGGTTTCTTCTAAGCGAGTGATGCTGGTTTTCCATTTAAGGTAGTGATAGAAAATTTTTGGGTTTTTTTCTTTTAAATACATTTAGGAGCCAGCCCTGATGGCCTAGTGGCTAAAGTTCGGCACTCTCACTGCTTCAGTGGCCCAGCTTCATTTCCTGGTCACAGAAACACATCACCCGTCTGTCAGTTACCATGCTGTGGCAGGAGCTCACAGAGAAGAACTAGAAGGACTTACAACTAGGATATACAACTGTGCACTGGGGCTTTGGAGAAAAAGAAGAAAAGAGGAAGATTAGCAACAGATGTTAGCTCAGGGCGAATCCTTCCCTGAAAAAAAAAATTTAGGAAAACAAAGTCCCCTGAGTTATAGAGAAATATCAAACAAAGAATACTATGGATGATGGCCATGGCCAAAATAGTGCAGATGGTACTTGAAGGATGATATTTTGGAAACACGGATCAAGTCTAAGCCTCTCCTTTATGAATGAGGAACCTGAAGCTCAGGAAGGGAAAGGACGTTTCAGTTTCACACAGAATTTACAGGTGGAGCTGGGACTGGAGGCGGCGGTGGTCGGGAAAAAGGAATGGGAGGTTGGGGATTGCATTGCGCGAGTCTGAAGCATCCTTCTGTCTGGCATGGTCTACCCCAGCTGGTGGCACACATGGCCATTTTCACCCCAGCACTGTGGCCATCCCTCCGTGTAACTTGACAGGTGAGAGCTTCTCTGTCACCATCTATAACATGAGCGCTTACTTCAGGGTATTACTTGAGCACAAAATGAAGTGGTACACGCAAACATTCCTCATTAAACTCTAAAAGGTCTCAAAATGTAAAGATAGAAACCCGTATCCTACTGCTACTTCTCACAATCCCCTAATATTAATATTTTCATGGCTGAAAAGCAATGTCAATTTTCTCATTGACCTTATCTCATTTTGAATAAAAAGAAAATAATTAAACATAGCTTGAAACATTTTATTTTTACTGAATTGACCCTGATGCAAAAACCATTGTTCAAAGTGATCTAAATCATATAATATTTTTACAGAACTGTAGGTTTATTTCTTTCAAGCATATCAAGGCTTTCCTCATTAAAAAGGCAAGAATGCTTCATAATTAGCACACCCAAACACCAGCTCCAGTGAAGATGACCTTCGATTATGTTGTTTGGCGGCAAATAGGTGTTTCTAAGGACTTAAGAGCAGATTCTGTTCTTTAGGAGATGTGTGTTCAAATCGTTTTATGATCTGTTAATCCATCTTTCAAATATCGCTAACGGATGAACTTCAACCCAGGCCTCATCCAAATAATCACAGATTTCTAGCGAATATGGCCAAATTAACAAGTTTTTGCTATAAATATATTCAGTGAGATTCAGTCAATGTCAATGCAGTATTTTTAAAAATTGAGATTATTAACAAACCCTCAAGTTCAATCCAATAAAGAACTGAAAAAAAAATGCATTTGCAATCAGCCCACCAGAGATATTAGAGAAATGAATGATTTCTAACCTCTGGTAACTCAGACCTGTAACATCCATCATCTTGCACAAATAGATCATTCAGAAAGGTAAAGGTTACTTCCAGAAATAATAGTTGTGTAAGGTGTTCCAGTCCCCAGTAAATTAAAGACGCAGCCTCACTCCTACTTTCCTCACTGAACAGAACACTGGAGGAACCTATTAATAGCATCGTTAGTTTCAAGAAGGCAGCTTACATGGAATTTGGATCTTAATGTACAGAAATAGATACTCAGCTACTCTCCCTGCAATGCAACCACCTTAATGGAATCATCTTTTCAAAATGAAAACTCTGCCCTAATGAAAGTCTTCTTTTTCACTGAAATAAGAAAGTCAAGCAACAAAGCAAGGCTCTTCATTTACATGAATGATCTCACAACCTCACCAGAAATGTATATTTAAGCCTGGGGATTATTGGTTGGAAATTTTAATGTTAAACTACCTGCAGAATACATTTAGCTATAGATAATACAAACCAATAGAGATTCAAAAAAATTTCTTTCTGAAAATGGAACTTATAAATATTTATTTTAAAGGATCAACAGGGTAAGTTTTTTCTGTTGCCCAAGCAAGTTTAATAACACCATGTAATACAGCTGAAGTTAAGGAGAATCAGTATATTTAAACCTGTAATACGTTAGGGTTGTTAGCTGCGTTTTAGAATAGCAGGCTTTGTTTTCATGTCCCAGGAATCAATTTTATAGTAGATTAAGCTGCCCTTGGGAACAGTGTATGTGCGTGTGTGTGTGTATGTGTGTGTGTGTGAACAAAATTACAGTGTGAATCCTGTCCCCTGGAATAGTGTAAAATGCCACCTGTGCAACTAAATGTGGTGACTCTGGTCCAAGAAAGGGATGGAATCAAGTCTTGATGCTCCCAAAGATGAAAATTGACACTCTCCACTTGCCACCCCCATACCCAGGCACCTCTGCAATGAGACATTGCAGATTTTTTCACCAAGAGGAGGGGTCCATTTCCCCAACCTTGGAATCTGGACTCATCTCGTAACTTGCTGTCACTAATAGAATGTTTCAAAGTGGCATTATGTCAATTCTAAGCCTAAGCCTCAAGAGCTCTTGCACACTTCCCCTGTTGCTCCTGGAACTCTGTCACCATGACGTGAACAAGCTCAGACAGCCTGCTGGAGGATGAGGGACCACAGGGAGGACAGCCAAGCCATTCCAACAGAGACCATCCTAGACCAGGTCGACCCCACCTGATCTTCCAGCTGACCATAGATACCTGAGTGAGCCCAGGATCAGGCTATCCTGGCCTAGTTCAGCAGAATTACCCAGCTCCTTGACTCCTGAGCAACAACCAATGGATGTTGCTTCAAGCCAGTAAGAGTTGGGGTGGTTGCTTATGCAGCAAATTCTATTACTCCTATGATGAATTAAAAGCTATAGAGTATTGCTGTTTGAGTTTCCTATCAGGAAAATGGATAGATTTGGGGCATACAACCTCAGAAGGGATAGGTATATGTCTGAAAGGATAAAGTACAGCCTTGAGTAAGTAGAGATGCTTTCCTTCAAAAGGCCACATGGCTTGGCTGGTAGCTGGGCCAATGAGATATAGCAGCAGCCTACATGAGAGAGACTGCTCCAGGGTGGTCCAGCGGTATTGGGAGGACACAGGGGGCCCTGTGCTTATTGCACAGCAGCGAGAAATAACTGCAGAGAGGAGATACAGAGGGCAAGCTCTACTTGCTTTGGAGTCAAAGTGGGATGGACATCCTCTGTAGGCTGCTCAGTCTTCCAACGTTCTCAGAAACGCTAATGAGGGCCCCCAATTCCCCGAGTGAGCCCACTGGTCTTCCTGTCCATCAGATGGCTGGGATTAAAACAAGTATTAAAGTAATTTGGATTGATAAAAATGCTTACACTCCAAATATTGTAAAGTAGTTCTTGCCTGCTACATCAGAATAAAAGATCCCTCTGTGTCTCATTTAACGCTGTTGGTCTTGAATCTATTTTGACTGATATTAAGGTTGTTACTCAGTCTTTATTTTGTTAGCATTTGTCTGATGTAAATTTGTTAATCTTGTTTTAAAAAGCATGTAAGGTAACAAGTATTTAAAAATGCATGATAACCAGCCACCACAGTCAGAGATTTCCTTCT